AAGGTAACTACTCGGTGTGATGCCGAGTAGTTCGGCGGTCGTGACTAATGTCGTCGATGGGGCAACAACTGGACGGTTTTAAAGGCCAATGGTTTCAAAGTTTGACAAACTTTCATTTTTCACTCGATTTCAACTTTTGCAAATCTGAACCTAGTAAGTAATTTTCATTATCTTTGCATTCCTGGTATTTTAGTCGTCGATTGATGTTCGAACTTGGAATTACATTGCTTCCTAGCATTTCAAAGTAATTCGATCAGCATAAAAGGTTGGTTTTCCCGAACCCCGAGGCTACTTTGAAACTTTTGTTCTCTTATGCAATTGGGCTTATCGTATTGATGTGTGTTGGGACTCTCTGATAGGATTAGATTTGTGAAATGCCGATTCGATTCATAAATCTTGCCCATTTTATCTTGATTTTTGAACTCCCTTTTTGTTGCGTGTAAAAATGATCAAAATTCTTGTGGGTTTGTGCATGCGTGGTGTTTATCATGATTAAGTGTTATGGGTCTGAGCTAAATTATACTAGTGCATAGTTTAATTTTGTTTTCGGGGGTTATAGGGTTGAAGTCGAGAAGATAGGTTGGAGATAGGCACGTTGTGCCGTTTGGCGAGCTGGGTCGAGCTCGCCAAACCACTTGGCGGTTCACCTAATGACTCCATCTCGCCTTTAATTTCATGCTACTTGTGATATGGGTTCTGTAACTTTCAGCGAGAAGTCTTTGATTGCTAAAAGCATTCGGTGACTCATCGAAAGTCTCCTTGATCGCCTTTTGTCTGCACCCCTGAACCTTTATTGCACTGTATCTTTCGGCGGATAAAACCCTACTCGCCGAAAAAAGTTGACGACTCACCGAAAGGATTTTCCCATTACCGACTTGTTAAAAAAAAATTGCCAACTCCTATCCGCGAGTTCGGCCTAGTTCGCCAAAGCAACTTGGCGATATGCCAATCTTTTCAGCGAGTTTTTCTGCAATTGTGTCCCTATGAATTTGATTTAGTTGTTTTAACTTCTTCCCAATTCTTTGCAGAAATGGCTAGATCTAAAGTTGCAGGAAGAAGCAGGCCACTCCAAGGTAAAACAAAAGGGATTACAATCAACGAGGATGCAGTTGCATCCAGAAGCAAAGTTGCTAAACTTTCCACAACTGGTGGGAAAGGCAAGGGCAAAGACAAGACCCTTGAATTATCAGATGCAAGCACAGATAGTAATGGCATTTATAGAAATGACCCCAACCAATCTGAAAGCGAAGGTGTGGGTTCTGATGAGGATGATATGTTAATAGCATAGAGGGTTGAGCGGCGAACTAAGAAGTTGAATGATCCATCCAGGGTCAGGACTCCCCAGCCTACCACTACTACACATCCAGTTCCAGAACAGGCAATGGTATTAGCGGCGCTAGTACAGGGTCCTCCGCCTAAGTCAATGAATCGAGTAAAGGCTGAGGGGCTGAGGATAATTCTAGAGGAAAAGTGTATGTCCATAGATGGGGTTATAGACAATACCCAGAGATAATGGAGTGCCTGAGATACCACAAGTTCCAAATCTTCGCTAAACCCCGTGGCCCTTATATTCCAAACTGGGTAAGAGAGTTTTACAATTCATACAGTGCACTAATACCCCAGAAAAAAACAGCTAGTAGTAGCCTTCAAAGAAGTGGACTATGTGGTTGTTAGAAGCAGGAGGTTAAAGTGTGATAGTGGAGCGATCAACGCAATCTTGGGCATGTCCACGAATATTAGGGATCACTGCCAGCACTTGATCAGAACAAAAAAGCTGGATAAGATGAAAAAGTGGCTAGCCCCAGTAATTTCAGATGAGACTCCGAAGTGGTTGGCGGAAAGGGTTTCGATTGAAAAGAAAGAACTAACCATAGTTGTAAGGTTCTGGTTCAATTTTATCAGCAGCACAATTATGCCGTCCCAGAATGAGTCGATCCTTCGCCTTGCCAAGGCAGCTTACCTGGGTTGCATCATAGAAGAGACTCGGATAAACTTGGGTACAATCATTGCTTCAGAGATACTCATGCGTGCAAGACAGAGCCGGACCTCACTTTCATTCCCAGTATTGAACACAAAATTGTGCAAACAAGCTCGGGTACCCCGAGATACCAAGAAGGATGTGAAAGTGATGCCCACATCCTCTACTGATGTCCAGAGGATCGAATCCGAGTACCTTAAGGATCAAGCAGAAAGGAAGAAGGCAGCATCAGTGGAGATAGTAAATATATAATCAAGCAGAAAGGAAGAAATTGACGCCAAATGATCCGCTACATCACAGATTTTTGAAAACTATAAATACTCGTTGAGAGTTGTAGCTTAATATCAGAATTTTAATATTTAATTTTTAACATAGAATTTTGAGTTCTAAGTTTGGAAAGAGTTTTTGAAGAACTTGAAGATTCAAAAGGTTTCAACTCCAAGAATTTGGACTTGGGTTTTATGGATTCTTTACTTTTTGCTTATTTTGAGACTTAAATCTTCATAAAAATTTGAATGCAAACTCATATTGGTATAAATTTCTATCTATTTTACATGTGTACCTAAAACCCCAATTCTTTGGGTGTGATTTTATGAATATGGGTTAGATTATCTGTTGGGTCTTGCTTGTTGATGGTTCATTTGTTATGTAAATGTGATTTCGTTTAGTAGTTGTGGTGGAACTTAATGAAATTTTAGTTGCAAATACGATTTCACATTTGTGTTTTCGGTTTGCGAGAGAGAGAGGTCGTAAAACTAAGACTACTAAATTGATGGCCGGTGGGAGTGGGTCGACATTAGGTTCAGCTCGAAAGAGTGAACCCTAGTCCTTCTACTACACACTCAGCTCGAGAAAGTGAGTGGGCTAAGGTGGAGGTTGTTCTTTAATGCGGCAAGTGGGTGTCCGAGAGGAACCCGTTTGATTCGGGGTAAGTTGCTCGAGAGAGAATTTACCCCACTATAGTCTAGCCTAGTCACAAATACTCAGCGGATTTACTATCAAAATCATGTACCCAATAGTCTAGTCTAACCCGTATCTCTATCACATCCCAAGAATTCTCTCTCCTTGATTAGTACTCTTTGCATTTTTGTTGTTTTTGCTTACTTGTCACAAACCCCCATTGATAATCGACCCTTGTGTCACCCCTTAGATTTAACATGTTTATATTCGACAATGTTTTTAGCTATGACTAATTAGAACTTAATTTTATTTTTCTTATTAATTCTCAAGTGAAATTCTCAAGCCCACTCCCTTGGGACTCGACCCCAACCCTTGGTTGGGTTACTTTACTATTGTACGATCGTAGACACTTGCATTGGAAGTTGTGTCTTGATTACGCAAACATCACCTATCCATCCTTCTACTGATCCAACTCTTGACCCTGTACATCTTTCCTCTGATCCAATTCTTGACCATGTCCATCCTTCTAATGAACAAGATTTAGATAGAGAATCATTGAATGGGAGATTTAATGAGAGTGATGTAGATGATGAGCTAAGAAGTTTTAGGGAGGAAAGGAGTAAAAGAAAGAGAAGGAAAATGGGAGAAAGAGCTGCATTGCCTGATCATGTCAAGTTAGGAATAGGAAAAAAAAAGGGTAGATGATGGGTATGATGAATCTACAGGTGGTAATAGAAACAACTTAGAAGGCAAGCTAGTTGGTGATGAGCCTTAGTATCCCTCAGATGAAGCTGGCAGTTTTGAAACAGATCCAGATACTTTCAGTGATGATGAATGAGAGGTTCAACAAAGAAAGAGAGTTAAGCCAAGAAGGAGAAAGAAGGTGAATAGAGTTGTATTTGATGCATCTTCTCAAAATATAGTGTGGGAATTGGGTCTTGTATTTGAAAGTGTTAATGAGTTTAGATTTGTTGTTACCAAATATGTTGTTGTTGAACATGTTGCAATTGAAATGTATATCAATGAACGAACAAGGGTAAGGGTTAGGTGTATAGTTGGTTGTCTTGGGTCTTATTTGCTAGCTTTGATTCTAGGATAAATAATTTTGTTGTAAAGACATACAATCCAGTTCACAAATGTGATCCTACTAATAGGAACAAGCTTTGAAATAGCAAGTTCTTATTTAGTCACTACAGTGAAAGGATAAAGGAACAACCTGACATTAGAATCTTTGAGTTTCAAGGGCTTATTAAAAAAAGAATTAGATTTATATGTTGGAAGAACGGTGTGTAGGAGAGCAAGAAACAAAGTATTACAGGAGCTAATGGGTGACTATGTTCTTGAGTTTGGCAGGATTTTGGACTACAAAGATGAATTGCTAAGAACTAATCCAGGAAGTACACATGTAGTCAAGCTTCATGAGGAAACATTTGGAAATGGTAGAAAAATGTTTCAAGGCATCTACATATGTTTTGATGCAATGAAGAAGTCTTTCTTGGCTGGTTGTAGGAAGTGCATTGGTTTGGATGGTTGTTTTCTAAAGGGAGTATCTAAAGGTCAATTATTGGTTGTTGTTTGTAAAGATGGAAACAATCAAATGCTGCCACTGGCTTGGGCAGTAGTTGAAGTTGAAAATAAGTTTACTTGGGCTTGGTTTGTCAATCTTCTAAAGGAAGATCTTCAGTTGGAAGATGGTACAGACCTCACAATCATATCAGATATGCAAAAGGTTAGAATATTTATTGGTTTTATGATTTATTTCATGTCTTGAATTTATTTATGAATGTCTTAATTTCTTTAATGTCTAAGTTTCTTAGTTTCATGTCTTGAATTTTCTTATAGGGTCTTGAAATTGCCATAATTGATTATTTGCCAAATGTTGAGCATTGAATGTGTGCTAGACACATCCTTGCTAACTGGTCAAAGAGATGGAGAGGTATTGAGAGAGAAATATTTATGAAGGTGTACAAGGTCTACTTTTGAGGCTGAGTTAAAGGATAACATTAGTTATATGAAAAGGCTGGGCCATAAGATAGTTGATCATCTGTTGTATTATAATCATGAAAGATGGAGCAAGCTTGACTTCGATTTTACCTCAAAATGTGATGTTGTAGACAATAACATGGCTGAATGTTTCAATTCATGGATATTAGCAGCAAGGCATAAGACTATAATTACAATGCTTGAAGAAATTAGGGTAAAAATGATGAAAAGAATAGGGCAGATGAGAGAGTTTTGCAATACTTGGATCTGTGACATTTCTCCAATGGCAATGAAGGTTCTACAAGATAACACAGTTAAGTCTATGAAATGCAACATTGAATGGAATTCAGATACATGGTATGAGGTACTTCATGGACCATACAGACATATTGTAGATATTCAAAGGCAAACATGTAGTTGTAGAGCATGGATGTTGGAAGGCATATCATGTCCTCATGCAATAGCTGCTCTTCACCATAGAAAATTGGACCCAATCAACTACATTTCTCAATGGTATAACAGAGAAATATACATGAAGACATACAACTACTTCATTCAGCCAGTTATGAATCTGAAAATGTGGCCAGAATCACAAAACATCTCTGTGATACCACCTCATGTTAGGAAGATGCCAGGAAGGCCTAGCAAGAAAAGAAAGAAAGAGCAAGGTGAAACCAGTAAAACTGAAAAATTATCCAAAAGAGGGATTGAGATGTCCTGCAGCACTTGTCATAACAAGGGTCATAATAAAATAAAGTGTCCTCTTGGTGCACCTGCTTATGGCACAAGCTTTACTGATGGACCAAGTTCAAGACCTGATGTTGGACCAAGTTCAAGACCTCCTTTTGGACCAAGTTCTAGCCCAAGAGCAACACCTGTTGCTGCACCAACATCAACACAAACTGTTGTCCCTACTGGCCCAAGAGCAACACCTGTTGTTGCACCAACATCAACACAAGTTGTTGGCCCAAGAGCAACACCTAATGCTCCAACTGGAAGAGGAAGGGATAGACCAAAGGGTTCAACTAAAAGGTGATATAGTTTCCTTTACTTACTTCATGTATAAGTTTTAAATAAGTTGCTTTACTGAATATTTTGTTGTTTTTTAGGGTAGTGTTGCTAGCAGAACAAGAATGGTTGGAATGGGTGTACTACACACACAAAGTGGTGCTACTATTATTAATGTAAGTTCCCTATTTCTATACTTAAATATCATTTATTATTTTTCTTTAATCACAAGTTAAGATTATTTATATTCATTTGAACAACCTAGAATGCCTAGTGAAAGATTTAGAAATGTGAAGTCTTCAGCAGTTGTTACAAGAGATCTTGGGCATAAACCAACATGTGGTGTTGAAATGGAAGGGAAAACCAAGCTATGACCTCAAGCCAACTTGAAGAGATGAGAGGAAGAAAACAAATGGAGACTAGGGTGTGTTTGGTATGAAGGAAAATTTTCTCATGTTTGGTTGGGTTAAAAGTTTTGGAAAATGTTTTCCAAATCAACTCATTTTCCACAAATTTAAGAAAAATGACTTCCCTTCAAAAATTAAGGAAAACATTTTCAAAACTTCTCCTCCAACTTCAAATTACAATTTTTTTTTGTTGAAAAAATCAATTTATTTTGTCCCTACCCTCAAATCACCACCTCCCCCCCAAAAAAAGTTTAAATCTTGTTTTTAAAAAATATTTTTGACTTCAATTTTTTTATTTTTATACCCCAACATCACCCT